GCAACTCAAGACTGCAAGTTGGGTTTTCTGGATTTGTCGTCTTTTGATATCCTCTTATGCATTTTCATGAATTAACCAAGATATAGTCTAGAAGGAAAAGAAACTATGCCAAAATACTGTGACACAACTGGAGGCAAAGAGATCCAAACACTCTAATGTCAGGTGCCCACGTGTACTAAATAGCTTTTTTCTTCTACAAGAGATATCTAATAGAAAGTTCTGGAATGGTTGTGTAGCTATGGCCAATTATAAGGGCTTCTTGAGAGAGGATGTGCTGCTTTTTTTCTGAGTCATGTTCCATTCTTGTATTTTCAGCTCTTTTCTTCTTTATCCCCACACTTAGCTCTTTTTTTTTTTTTTTTTTGGTCTTCAGTCTGATCTTCATCACCTTTCGGATTGCTGCTAGGTAAACTCACATCATGTTGCTGGTCCTGGTGGTTAATTAAGAGTCACAGTGTAATAAAAGATAATTCTAAAATTAATTTGACTAGTAGTTTAAAAGAGTGATTTAGATACTATTTAGAGTTTTCTAGTTATACAAGAGGATGGGATCTCTGCAGGACCTGTATTATTTTATATAAAAGGAAGACTGTCAGAAAAACAAAAAAAGCAACCCTGACAGGAAGATGTTACCTTTCTCTGAAGAGGGAAGAGGACTGCAAGTGTTCTGAGAGTTTGAGGTGGCACTCGGAGTCACAAGGTTTGGGGTCAGAGACCAGGAGCCAGCGCAGATTTTGACAGCCCAGCATCTGTTCAAGGGCAGAAAAAAGGCCCAAATACACTTTGCAGACCACTCCTCCACCAGTCTTCAGTGTGAATTCTGAGCAGGCAGCTGAGCATCTTTCCTCAAGGTCATGAAAGTACGGCTGTACAAGGTCTGCTTAGCCCTGAACCTTGTCAGCAGTCACAAGGGGATGTCCAGGCAAGTGTGAAAACAGCGAGCATCTCCGTTCCCCAGGTACTCTCCCGGCCTCCAACAATTCACAGCTCAGAATCCTTCTAAGACAGGGACTGCGGCAGCGATAATAGTTTTCTCTTCCATGAATTTATACAGCCTCCCAGTTAGTGTCCATGTAAGTGTAGGTGAGATTTTCCAAAACCGAACCGTTGACTTTCAACAGGAGGGAGATGCCTGCCTTCCCAGCGTACCTGGCAATACCACACACTATTACGTACTAGGAGATCTTTCCCTAGATGTTACAAACAGGCCTTCGTGCAATTGTCCTACTGTTCTTTGCTGACTCTAGTAGAAGCAGAACCACATTTTTTTTTGCTATACATGGGCTTATTGAAGCTTGAATTAGTACAGAAAATAGGTTGGAAAATCATGATAGAATGGCATAAGACCATTTCACACAGCACACATGTCTTACCTACGCACGTGAAGCCAGTAAAAATCTGCACGTTTATTTGCTCCCTACAACTGTCATTTCCATTGCAAGATACAATTGAACTCCTAAGGTGTCTCAGTAATTACTGATCTTTTTGCACGTAACTGGGGCCAGATCCTGACTTACTTTTTTTGCACTGGAGAATGTGACAAGCAGCTCTCTTGATATTGAACAGCATTAGAATCCGGGCCTCAGGATGAAATTTTTCAGAAGCTGACACTTCAGCCGTGCACAGCGGGATGACGGCCATACAGAGACATTCAGCACAGTTTGCGAATTCTACCCTTTATGCAGTAGCAAAATAATTGTTCAGATAACTCAGATGCTGCGTTAAGTTAGCAAGGTAAAAGACAGCGATAATCTCGTCCTGCATCTTTGTTTGCCCACTGTTACGTTTGAAATGAGGAACCTAAAATCAGTCTCGTTTTCAGATGGAATATAGATTTTTACACGGTTCAAACTCAGAAACTACATTATTTTTAATCTGTTGCCTACTACATACCAATGAGGAAAATCCGGGTATCCTGTCTTAAACTGCTATGCAAATGATGCTATTTGTAAGTATTAACATAATTTACTGCTTACAGTCATATTCTCATTTCTAATAATTCTACCAGAATGGAGAGTCTTTTCACAGTACTCTTAGCCTGCAGGATAGTCTTTCATCAAGAAGCTGAATTTTTTAATAACCTGCCAGCATACGTTTTGTATGTGGCAGCCTACGCCGATGACACAATGTCTTCATTATCAAAAGAAACAGGTCTCCATACTGTAATAGGACATTAAAGCATGCCTGTGCTCATAAACTAATGCTTTGATGTTTAAATGTGTATCATTACGACGGTATTCCTTAACAAAGGATGATTTTTATCCTCTGTTCTCAATGGCAGTACTCAGTGGAGGCTGCAATTCATTATACACAAAAAAGGTCTCCCTTTCTACAAAAGGAGGGCTAACTCAGAAGGCAGAAAAATTTGAGCATGCATGTTCAAACGAGACGTTCAAAATGGCAGTGAGCTTCACGCTTTGCCAAAGCCCGCTTGAATACTGGTCTGGATTTCTGGGAGTTTTCCTGCTGCCTCTAGGAAATGAGATCAAATACGTTATCCTGGGTGTACTTTCCAACTTCCAAAAAATGGTGATGTTTAAGGGCTTCTAATGGGTTGGTTCCTGGTTGCATCAAAGCTCCATGTAAAACCTAGAATGTCTTAGGTTGGAAGGGACCTTCGAGATCATCTAACCCAACCCCCCTGCCGTGGGCAGGGACGCCTTTAACCAGCCCAGGTTGCTCAAGGCCTCACCCAACCTGGCCTTGAACACCTCCAGGGAGGGGGCAGCCACAGCCTCTCTGGGCAATCTGTTCCAGAGTCTGGCCACCCTCACACTGAAGAATTTCTTCCCAAGATCCAATCTAAACCCATTCTCCTTCAATTTAAACCCATTTCCCCTTGTCCTGTCACTGGACACTCTTGTCAAAAGTCCCTCCCCAGCCTCCCTGCGGGTCCCTTC